AAAATAGTTTTGGGCGAAATGAACGGAAACTAAAAATGTTTTCTTTAGTTTCGACAAATGAAACAAATTTGTATGCTATTTTGGATTTGGCCTCCAGCGCATTCTGCCGATCTGCTCCGCCATCCTGGAGGCAGGGAGCATGACGTCACATACCGCACACGTCTGTTGGGGGGCGCAATTTTCTGTTCTTGCCTCAGGTGCAAAAAGAGCTAGCTACAGCTCTGTGCGGTCCTTGGAAAAGGACGATACTCCTTCCTGTAGCACATGGGGGCACTCCCCCTAACAGCTGGTGGTTCTTTGTAAGAAGACAGGATGGAGCCATTACCCATATCTTTAAAATAACAAAACCTTTAGAAATGTTTAGTAATGACAATCTACAAACACATACTTCTAGCTAATTGCCAGCTTTGTATTCCTTGCATTCCTTATTTCTCTTTTCTTCCCCAGTCTTCTGACAGTGGTCATGTTTACTAAGGACAGATTACCTTTACTTGCTTGATTTTTGGCACATATGACTAGACATGTGACTAGGACATGGGACCATGGACGTCATCTCAGGGGAGGAAAATGCATTTCCCTAAGATCTCATGAGATTACAGATGAGATTTCCCAGTAATGCTCTGCTGATGACAAGGCAAACCCAGTGTGCATTGCTTTGCCAAACTAAAGTCATTTTGCCCTTTCAAAGCATGAAGTGAATGCTCTGCAAGTGTAAGTATTATAAAATCACAGCATTTTACACCTGACATGTCTATGTTATTATTAATCATCATACATAGAGGGATGCATTAGTAGAATTTGATTTTTGGATGTAAAGGTCTGCTTTAATAGCATCTGCCGTTTATTTCAGCAGGTTTCTGTCATTGCAAAAATGGCCTACAAGTATGTTAGCAGAAGAGAGGCAGATTTTAAAATCTGATTAGCCTAGGGAGATGTTATTGTATATAGTGACTGCACTGAGTGTTATTTTTAGGAAGATCAACTAACCCTTTAACCAAATGGCAGAGCCAATTCCAGCCATAACATTTGCTGCTGTATTGCAAAGTTAAAGTGTATCTAAACCCAAAACCAAAAGTTTCATGTATTGCAGTTTACCAATTCTTAAATGTGGTGTCTGCATTCATTTTCTTTGTTTAGGATATTTTTCCCATATTTCTGACCTGGTAACTCTTTTATTTTTCAGCTTCCTTTAATGAACCAAGCTATCCAGCAAATGTGGCAGAGAGTTGAGACAAACCATTTAACACTGACAGGAATGCTTACAAGGGTTGACTTTTATTTATTTATGTAAGTTAAACAAATAATGCTGTCCAGGCTGTGGATTTGTTGGTCCCTTATAGAGTGGAGTCACCCTAAGACAGGAAGTATGTTGCTGGCCGAATCATCAGTTCATAACATAGGTGAAAAAAGACATAAAAAAATAAAACTAATGTTTAAGGATTGGTAAGCTGCAACGTATCACATTTTTGTTTTTGGATTTAGATGCTTTAGAGCAGGGAGGCAACTACAGCCACACCAGACCATGAGAATGCTATGTAGTCCAGGAGTGCCTCATATTTTATTTAGAAAGAAATAGCAACTGGCAAATAAAAAATAGAATACTGCAGGGTGGTATTATTCAGTGTTTTAGAAAAGCGCATGTCTCTGAAGGATTTCCATTGTTAATGGGTATGCCATGGGGGCCTATAAGCAGTACCCACAAACATGTAAGCCAATTATTAGGGCCTGCAAAAGAAGCAAATCATAAAACAACCTGCAGCTAGCACACTATTCTTTTTTTTCTTTGTTTCCACCTTTATTTCAGCAAACAGAAAGCCATCTATTTTTAAGATGCCCTCTCCTTTCTCTCAAACACTACTACATATTCATATTCAAGCTACAAACTGAATGCTAGTAACAGACTGCATGTTCTACATACTGCACAAAGAATCACCCATTGCCATATTTTGAGAATGATACTCCAGATATTCTGAGCATGGCTGCTAGCTGGAGCCACCAATTTCAGCACCCTCATTAAAGGAGACGTATTGGAATACTTGGAAGCTGTCATATGCAAGCTCTATAGATCGATAGGTGAGTGATTGTGTGATCCCTGATTACTCCCTGCAGGGATTCCCCCCTCTCTGTTCTCCAGTGCTCATTGGAGGGACAAACAGGGCAGGGGGCGGGCACAGCTGGCTCTGGCTCTAGAGAAGCAGAGCCAGCTGTCAATCAGGCAGCAGGTTGGATCCCAACAATACTGTCGTTATCCTTTCCGGCTGCAGTGCAGTTCTGCGCTGTCAGCATAATGTTGGCAGTAGCCTGCTACATGCTGAGTTTGGTTCACAGGTGTACATTAGTAAGTGTACTCCTGTGATCCATAAGAGAACTAAAGCCAAAAAAAGTTTTTTGACCAATGCTTTGACAGGTAAAATAGTTCTCGTATAACTATTTCAAATGTCTATTTATCTGCATCCTGGAGTTCATCTTTATTGATTACTTATGCATAGCACAAATGGTTTATGGGAAGTGTGTGGTCTTGGCTGTTTCTTTTCATCTCTACCTTATTCCTCCATTTAAAATCCATGACTCATTCTATATCAGTAGATGCATAGTATCACCACTGATTTCACATTGCTTTCACATATGTGTTAATTAAACCTTTCCTTTCCATACTGTAACTGCATCACTGTCTCCTGCCTGCCGTTTCCTTATTAGCACATCATTGTTACACCACCTCCCCTGTC